CACATCTAATGACTGGTAATCTGCAATAAATTATATTTTTGTTTTTATATGATTTTAACAAATTTTTGAATCTTTAATTCACATAAGAAAATGCAGTTCTACTTATATCTCTATGGGGATTGTCAGATGTCCAATGGGAGCGATAATGACTGATCCTATAGATAAGAGAAATGTATAATGGCTCTGTTCTCATCCTAATAGCACATGAGCACTGCCATACAGCTGATTGGACCCCTGTTCTGCTTTTCATTCTTCCAGGACTGCAACCTGAGAGATGTTTGGTTTCTTTCTCTACAAGCAAAATAGTTAAAAAAACCCCGCTCCCTCCGCTCATCTTTCCTATTAGATTTCCTACCATCCAGGAGCAGAACATTAGTCGTTTCATCCTGACCAGTTCAGCCTTTAGGTCAGCAGTCTCCCTCTTGATGCCGATCCGCCTGGTTTGTCTTGTTTTGGCCTTCTGTCTAGATCAGATGCAGGGGCAGACTGACCATTGGGGAACTCGGGCACTGCCCGAGGGCTCAGGGTCAGTAGGGGGCCCCATGAGATGCCCCTGGTACCTTTCATAGGCTTTTTTGGGTGGTGGTTTGAGCATGGGCGAGGACACAGGGGCCCAATGATCCCCTATTTCCCGGGGGCCCCATGAGTTGTCAGTCCGTCCCTAATCAGATGGTTTCCATGTTTTCTTTTCAGGATCTTGATCACCATGTGGTGGGAAGAGGTTGGCTCCTGGCAGGTAAAGCCCTGACTTCCTGTCCCTTTGTGGGGTTTCGGGAGGGGCCTGCTGTATATTTCAGGGTGGTTAAGGTTGCGTGGTGTCCTGAGACATGCGTTCTCATGCTACCCATGCCTTTATTTCAAGTGACGTCACTTCTGGTGGCCTAAGATGACCCACTTTTAGTCTCAGCATGTCAGTGATTTTGGCAGTTGACTTTTTTTCTGCCCCTACACAGTCCTTTGTTAGCCTATGTGTTCATGTAGAGGCAGGGGCATTTAGGGGGAGAAATCTGAATGCACCAAAATTGCGTTCAGGAGAGGAACATTTGGGCAGAAAAAATGGCCGATGCTCCTAAATACATGAAAACTCACCTTAATGTGTCTAAACGCTAGGTGCATTTAGTATCTGAGTGTTCATTCATTTCAATGGCCAGAGTGAATAAATATTCTGGCTAATGAAATGAATGAACGCCCATACGCTTGATGCACCACAACGCATCTACATGTACCTAAACGCTTTTCAGAAACATGGCTTTAGGTGCGTTGTTTTTAATGCTCATTTATCCTGTAAGGAGAAAAGTGTTCAGAAGAGCTTTGTGCCCATGAGGCTTACAGTGGAAAGTGTGGTCTGAATTATTTATTCAACAGAAAAGAGCAGTTCAGAATTTATACATGAACAAAGCAGTGCAGACATTTAGAATATTACTGCAAGGTATCATTGCAAAGTAAGGTCTATATGACCCAATTACAGCTGTCTTTCCTTTCTAGAGGCCAAACAAGAATTCTGGAAGAGACAATAGAAAACTAGTAGGAGGAAAGTGTAGAAAGATGATTGGAAGAGAAAGAATATAGGGGGAAAGAAGAAGAAGAAGAAGACTAGACTAGGACCAATTGGGAAAGAAAAAAAAGGAAGTAGGGATTGTCCAGATACTCCTGTCCCATCTCAATGTCCAAAGAACCAGCTCTGTGTCTCCTCTCAATGCTCAAAGAATGAACTCTATGTCCCCTCTCAATGCCCAAACAACCAACTCCAATTCCCCTCTCAATGTCCAAAGAGCCACTCCGCATCCCCTCTCAATGTCCAAAGAGCCAACTCCGCGTCTCCTCTCAATGTCCAAAGAGCCAACTCCGTGTCCCCTCTCAATGCCCAAAAGCCAACTCAGTGTCCCCAATCAATGCCCAAAGAGCCAAATCCATGTCCTCTCTCAAAACCCAAAGAACCAACTCCGTCTCCCCTCTCAATGCCCTAAGAGCCAACTTTGTGTCCGCTCTCAATGCCCAAAGAGCCAAATCCATTTCCCTCTCAATGCAACTCAGTGTCCCCTCTCACCGCCCAAAGAGTCAACTTCGTGTCTCCTCTCAATGCCCAAAGAGCCAACTCCTTGCCCCTTCTCATTTCCAAACTCTGTGAATGTTAATGATAACTAGTGCTCAAGGTGAGGCTTCCAATGAGGGAGTGAGGGGAGTCTGGTCTCCGTAGAAAATCCATGGTCTCAATGTTTGCCAGTGTTTCTCATCATGCTCTCTCAAAGCCATAGTGAGCTGCTACATCTGTTGAATTGCAGAACAATTCAGTCGGAGTCGCACTGTCTCTGAAAGTACCTCATGCACTACTTTTTGCAAGTTCAGATGCGACTTGCATAGACATCTGTGCATGAAGTTGCACAGATGTCTTCCAAATCGCACTGACATCCGACTTTGAAGTCGTGCGATTTCAAGTTGCATGTTTTCAGAGCAGGATTTGGTATGATCGAAGGCTAAATCAGTGTAGGCAAGGTAGGGTTGCCACCTCATCCCTTTAAAACCGAACACATACCAATTACACAGGTCCTGAGGCCACCTTTTTGCAGATAGAGCATTACATGAATTTAATGACCACCTTAATCAGCCCCAGAACCTGTGTAATTAATGTGTTCAGTTTTAAAGGGATGAGGTGGCAACCCTAGCGCAATGCGTTCAAATGCACACAAATGCAATACACTGCAAGGCAAACAAGGGGACCCCCCCCCAAACACAACGCATGTAAAATGCTCTCCAACGCATTGCAACTAGGTACCAAAAAAGCAACGTAGCGTGCATGGGTTAACGCATGCATTGTGGTGTGAATGAGCCCTAAATGATAAAGAAGCTGCATGCTCAGTAAGTGACCGCTTCCCGTCCGCCCTACAGCAATAACACTGCTACAGGGTGGCAGGGGTGCGCTAAATCACATATATATACGTGATTTTAAATTTCCGGGTAGAATTTTGCAGCCTTGGCTGTCAATCACCGGGTCCCGGCTGGTGATTACTCGCCAGGGCCCGATGATTGAGGAGCATTACCGACAGAGGGAGAGAACTGTGTATAAACAATACAGTTCTCTCCCCTGTCAGCTCCTGCACACTGCTTTGTATGGATCTGCATAGCGCAGCCATACAAAGCAGTGTGCTTACAGTGAAGCACACACACACACACACAGCACACAGTAAAACAGCACACAGTTAATGTTAACCCTTTGATCACCCCAAATGATCACTGTATTGGTGTATTGTCACTGGGGATGCCAGTGACACCAAGTCAATTTATCCCCAGTGTCAAAATACCCACCATAATCCCACTATAGGTTGGTGATCACCGCCACTACTATCAAAAAAAAAAAAAAAATCCCAGTATGTATACCGCCATTTGTAAACACTATAACTTTCACGTAAACCAATTAATTTACACGTATTGGGATTTGTTTTAGCAAAGGCATGGAACAGAATACATTCTGGCCTAAATTTATGACAAAATTTGATTTTTTTACATTTTTATACTGGACATGTTTAATAGCAAAAAGTCCAAAATATTATTTTTTTCTCAAAATTGTGAGTCTTTTTTTATAACGCAAAAAATAAAAACTGCACAGGCGATCAAATACCACCGAAAGAAAGCTCGATTCATGAGGAAAAAAGTACGTATATTTAATTTGGGTGCAGCGTTGCATGACCATGCAATTGTCAAGTAAAGTAAGGCAGCGAAGTATTTAAAAAAAATGGCTTGGTCAGGAAGGGGGGTAAATCCTCTGGAGGGCAAGAGGGTACTTTAAAAAAAATGTGAGGGTGAAATGTGAGGTGGAGCAGGCAGTGTATGGATAGAGATGGCTGTGTCCATGCTGTACTATGCTCCTGCTGGGGCACACAACAGGTTAACCTGCAGGACTGAGTAGGAGTGGGCGGGGCCTCTCCTAACGCAGCCACGTCAGCCTTGCACTGTGTGACATGAATAAAGTTTAAACAATTTGAACGGCGCGCTGCGCCTGCTGGGAGTTGTAGTCTGCGGCTGATCCGCTCACGGGCTGCAGGCTGGCACCGAGCTGAGCGCAGGACGAGGGGAGCCATCCAGCCGGGGACGGACGGAGCTGTCGGAGGGAGGTAATGCTGCTACATGGGAGAGGTGTGTGCACACAGACGGCGGGGATGGTGTGTGATCGGGGGGGATGGGGTCGGTGCTGGGTCGGGGAGGGGATCGGACAGGAACGGAGTGCGGGGTCCGGTGTAGTTGTGGGAAAGTTATTGGGAGTGACACCCCGCACCCCCTCCCCTCCCCCGCCTCATCTGCTGTACAGGAGAAGTGCGGGGAGAACTTTGCTGGGCTCTGATTGGCTGATGGGGTTTGGTAGCCTGCAGAGCTCTTCCTTAACTTTTAATTCTCCTTAATCCTGGAGAATCATCAGATCCGACCCGATTCCCTATACATGTACAATATAAATCACTCGTGTGCGCTGATTGGCACAGGTCTGACGCAAAGGCACAGAAAAGAAAAAAAAAAAAGATCTCTGCGCATTCTAGCATAGCGTAGGCGCGCATCAACGCAACACGCTTCAGGCTTCGTTCACACTTATCACATTGCAGGCGAAATGGCGTGTTTTCCAACAACGCACCGGACACATGGTGACTCCCCCTACTCCCCATGCATCTTCCTAATACGCGCACCAAAATGCATGGCGGCCTTTTTTGCAACATTGTCACGTATAGGGCGAGCCATTGAAACTAACGGGCAGCCCTAAACGCAAGCATGAGAGTGCGCAAAAAAAAGCGCGTACACGCAGCTGTTGATTTGAAATATAAAGTATTTTAACTCTTGATTTGACCAGTACAGGAAAAAACAATGCTTGTCAACGCTCGTCCGTCTTCTGTATAGTGAGCAAGCCCTATGGCCAGGTTCACTACTGCGTTCTGGGAGCGTGTGCAAAATTGTGCACCTCCCCGTCATGCGCAAAAATTCACTGCTCTTTTACAGACACGTTAAAGTGTTTCTAAACCCAGGACCCTGCATTCACTATATCTGCTCTCCCCGGACCCTGCATTCACTATATCTGCTCTCCCCGGAACCCTGCATCCACTATATCTGCTCTCCCCGGACCCTGCATTCACTGCATATATATCTGCTCTCCCCTCCCCGACCCTGCATTCACTATATCTGCTCTCCCCGGACCCTGCATTCACTATAACTGCTCTCCCCGGACCCTGCATTCACCAGATCTGATCGGTCCCCCTGGTCATGGACCCTGCATTCACCAGATCCAGTCCCCCTGGACCCTGCATTCACCAGATCCGGTCCCCCTGGACCCTGCATTCACCAGATCCGGTCCCCCTGGACCCTGCATTCACCAGATCCGGTCCCCCTGGACCCTGCATTCACTATATCCGCTCTCCCCGGACCCTGCATTCACTATATCCGCTCTCCCCGGACCCTGCATTCACTATATCCGCTCTCCCCGGACCCTGCATTCACTATCATCCGCTCTCCCCGGACCCTGCATTCACTATATCTGGTCTCCCAGGATCCTGCATTCATTATATCTGATCTCCCACAGTACACAGGACATGGAAATGCAATTATCTTAGTACATATAAACTGCTAAAATATCTTTTCTCATCAGCAGTTACAGCAGTCTTGTGACTTCTATCAGTGTCCAGCTGAGCACTGGTTAAAGCTTGTAGGAGGGTGTTTTCATTCTCCTCTGACTGTCCTATGAGGCTGCATGACCCTTGACCCTGTGTCTGGACAGTGCTGATTGACCCTGTGCTGATCACATGCACTCTCCCAAGAAAAAAAAAAAACTCTAGCAATCCACACCAGAGTGCTCCCAAGGTTTTGTTCTATCAGCAGATTGATTTGGGGAGAAGACAGCCTTTTAACACAATGCAGAGGATTATTTATTAGTATAGGTACTTATATAGCACCATCAATTTACACAGCGCTTTACACACACACACACACACACACACACACACACACATCTATCTATCTATCTATCTATCTATCTATCTATCTATCTATCTATCTATCTATCTATCTATCTATCTCTAGTGCATTCACATCAGTCCGTAACCCTCAAGGAGTGTACAATCTCAGGTCCCTAACTTACATTCATACACATACTAGGGCCAATTTAGACAGGATCCAATTAACCTACCAGCATGTCTTTGGAGTGTGGGAGGAAACCGGAGTACCTGGAGGAAACCCACGCAAGCACAGGGAGAACATGCAAACTCCAGGTGGGTGGTGCCGTGGTTGGGATTTGAACCAACGACCCTAGTACTGCCAGGTGGAAGGGCTATTCTTTTAGCCACTGTGCTGCCCGACCCCAGAGGTTCCACAGTGAGTATAACAAGCATGCTTTACTGCATATACAGACTGATTGTACTGTTGTGGGTTTAGTAACACTTTAATTCTTATTGACACCCCCATGCATCTTGGTAACATGCGTCAAAGGCACAGCACTCTTTTTGCACATTTCTCAAACATAGGACAGATGACAAACGCGCCAATCATGCTCCTGTGACTTTTTGGTGTTGAGCTTTGGCCTAATGGTGAGTAGAATTAAGGGTCAGAATTAAGGGTCAGAAGTTGTGTAAATTATATGGGGGGCTCACCTTCTTCAAAAAATCTGATCTGTAATAATGTTCCTCCATCCCTTCCTTATTGATACGCTGACTTCACTGATCTTTTTTCTCCTTCCATGTGCCTTCCCATTACCTTTTTCTTCCTGTCCTTTCCTGCTTCCTTTTCCTTTTTTCCTTCCTTCCTCCTTCCTCCTTCCTGCCTTCCTTCCATTCATACTTTTCTTTTCTTTCTTTCTTTCTTTCTTTCGCTTCCGTTCTCATTTCTTCTTCTCTTTTCTCTGTTCTTCCTTCTTTGTTGTTCTTTCTTTCCTGTTCCATTCCTTTTCCTATTCCTAGGTCGTATCCTTTCCTTCCCTATCCTTCCCTGATTAATGGGATCCTTCCTATTTCCCTCCTTCTTTTTTTTTCTCGGATCCCTTCCTATTGTCCCTTCCTGGTCCTTCTATCCTTTTTCTTTTTCTCCTTCCTTAGTGTACTGTTTTTTACCTTCCTTCCTTCTTTTACGCTCCTAAAATTTTTCTACTTCCAATTCCTTTTCTTCCTTCCTTTTTCTTATCCTTCCTTTTTTCTCCTTCCTTCCTACCATTATTCTCCTTTCCTTCCTCCTGTTTCTCCTTCCATGTCCTCCTTTTTTCTCCTTCCTGCTTCCTTTTTTCTCCATCTGGTCCCTGTGGAATTATTCTTCCCTGAATCCTTGCATTTTTCTTCCTTCCTTTAATCTTCTTGCCTTTTTTCTTTTTTTCTCCTTCCTTTCTTCCTTCCAATTCGTTCTAATTCCCTTTCTCCCTCCTGTTCTCCTTCCCTTCTTATCGGGTTTCCTCCTCCATTCTTCCCTAAAACATTTTCTCCTTCCTTTCGTCCCTTTCCATTTTCTCCTTCCTTTCTGATTCCTTCCTTTTTCTGCCTTCCTTTCTGTCCTATCCTTGTTTCCACCTACATTTCTTCCATTGCCTTCCTCGTGTTTTTTTGCCCCCCTTGCTTTTCTCCAATGTCCTTACTATTTTTTTCTCCTTTATTGACAGATTTTTCCTCCCTCCATTCCCTTTTTTTTTTCCAATACTCCCTTCCTTTTTTTTCCTCCTCCCTTCCTTTTTTTTCCTCCTCCCTTCCTTATTTTTTTTCCTCCTCCCTTCCATTTTTTCCTCCTCTCCTTCCTTGATTCCTTTTTACCTGCCTTTTTTCTTATGCCTGTCCTATTTTCTCCTGTCCTTCATTTTGACTCCTCCTTTCCTTCCATTGTTTCTCCTTCCTTCCTTCCTTTTTCTCCTTCCTTCCTTCAATTTTTTCTGCTTCATTGCTTTTTTCTCCTACACTTGCTTCCTTCCTTCCGTTTTCCTTCATCCTCCTGTCAATTTCTGTCGTCGTTCTTCCCTTCCTTTTTCATCCTTCCTTCTTTCCCTATCCTTTTTCTCCTTCCTTCTTCCCTATCCTGATTTTCTCCTCCTTTCACCCTTCTTCCTCCCTTTTTTTGCCCCCTTTTGTTTTTCTCCTTCCTTCCTTCCTTATTGTGATTCTCCTCCTTCCCCTTTTTGTTTCCTCTTCCTTCCTTCCTTTTTTTTTCCTCACACCTCCTATTTTTTACAGCGATTCCTTTCCTTCCTTCCTATTTCTCCATTTTTTTTTCCTGTCCTGTGTTTTTTTTCTCTATCTTCCTCCCTCGGTGATTAGTTTTTTTCGTAATCTCTCATTGCCTTCCTGTTTTCGTCCTTCCCTTCCTTATTTCCTCCTTTCCCTTCCTTCCTACCTCCCTGTTGCTCCTTCATCCTTCCTGATGCTTCTTGCTTCCTTCCTTTTTTTCTTCCTTTCTTCCTCCCTATTATTTTTTCGCCTCCACTTTTTTTTTTCACCTTCCTTCCTTCCTTTTTTGCCTGGGTTCCTTCCTTTTTCCTCATTCCTTCCTTGTTTTCTCCATTTTTTCCTCATTCCTCCTTTTTTTTTTCCGTTTCCCTTCTTCCTTTTTTTCCTTTTTCCCTTCACTAGTTTTTTTTCGCTTCTGGGATTACGTTCCTTTTTTTTTTTTTTTTTTTTCTTTTTCTTTTGTCCTTGCTTCCTTTGATTTCTGCTTGGGTTGGCTTTTCTTTCTTCCCTTCCAGGTTTTCCTGGTTCCTATTTTCATCTCATCGGTTCGCTTCCTTCTTTAAATTTCTCCTTCCCTTCTATCTTTTTTCTCTCCTTCCTTCCTTGGTTTTTTTCTCCGTCCTTCCTGTCTTTCCTTTTCTCCTTCCTTCCTTTTCTCCTATACTCCTTCCTTTTTCCTCCTTCCTTCCTTCTTTTTCTCCTTTCTTCCTTCCTTTTGTCCTCCTTCCTTCCTTCTTTTTCTCATTCCTTCCTTCCTTTTTCTCATTCCTTCCGTTTCTCCTTCCTTCCTTTTTCCTCCTTCCTTCCCTTCCCTTTCCTTCCTTCCTTCCTTGTGTTTTCCTTCCTTCCCTTTACCTAATCTATCCTTTTTTTCCTATGATATCTGTCCCTTTTCTCGTAAGTTCTTAATTCTCCTTCCTCCTTTTTTCCTTCCTTCCTATGAGTTTTTCCTTCCTTCCTATCCTTCCTTTATCCTTCCTTCCTTCCTTCTTCCTCCTTTTCCTTTCCTATCCTTTTTCTCCTTCCCTTCCTACCTTTTTTCTCCTTCCTTCTTCTTTCCTTTTCTAGTTCAATTGGTACTTTCCTTCCTTTTCTCCTTCCTTGTAACTCTTTCCTTTTTCTCCCTTCTTCCCTCTTCTTTCTCCTTCCCTTACCCTCTTGATCCTTTTTCTCCTTCCTTCCCTCTTGCCTTTCTCCTTCCTTCCCTTTTCCTTCCTTCCTTCCCTTTTTTTCCTTCCTTTCCTTCAGTTTTGCAAATCCTATCCTTCCTGTTTTCCTTGCCTTTTCCTTTATTTCGCTTCCTTACCTTCCCTTTTCTCCTTCTTCCTTCTATTTGTCTCCCTTTTAATTCGTATCCTTTTCTCCTTCTTCCTAATTTCCTTCCTTCCTTTTTCTCCTTCCTTCCTTCTTCCTTGTTGCTCCTTCCTTCCTTCCTTCCTTTTTCGCCTTCCTTCCTTCCTATCCTTCCTTCCTTTTTTTCGCCTTCCTTCCTTCCTTCCTGTACTGTTTCTCCTTCCTTCCTTCCTGATTCCCTTGGTTTCCTTCCTTTTTCTCCTTCCTTCCTTCCTTTTTTCCCCCTTCCATCCTGTTTCATCCGTCCTTCCTTCCTTCCTTCCTTTTTCTCCCTTTCTTCCTTCCTTCCTTCCTTTTTCTCCTTTCTTCCTTCCTTCCTTCCTTTTTCTTTCTTCCTTTTCCTCTTTCTTTCTTCCTTTTTCTCCTTTCTTCTTCCTTTTTCTCCTTTTCTTTTCCTTTTTTTTCTCTCCTTTCTTCCTTTTTCCCTCCTTTCTTCCTTCCTTCCTTCCTCCTTCCTTTTTCTCCTTCCTTCTTCCTTCCCTTCCTTCCTTCCTTTTTCATGATGTAGTAATTGTTGCGTGAATTAATAAGTAAGTGTTAAGATTTTATCTAAGGAAGTAATGGTTAGATGTGAGGCAGTTAATTAATTAATTGGATAGGGATATTTAGGAATTAATCTAAGGTTTAGATGTGAGTGGATGAATGAAGGAAGTGGAGAAGTTATTAATTTGGTGGATAATGGATTAATTATAATTAATTAATTAATTTTTATATAATTTATTAGGAAGTAATTGTGTTAGAAGTTGTAAGTAAGTAAGGGGAAATGAAAATGTAATGTTTGTGTGTAAATATTTTTTTTTTTTTTTTTATTTATATATATTAAAAAAATGGTTTTTTATTTAATTTATTTTTGTGAATGTTTGTTAATAGATATATGGTTTTTTGATAGGATTTATGGGAATTTGTGGGAAATTTGTGTTATGATTATAATATAAATGGAGGTTATAAATTATTGTAAGATGTGTGAATTAAATGTGTAATGATAGTTGGAATAGTTCTTTGTGTGACTATGTCCTCTGCGCATTGATTTTAAGTGACCCTATTATTTTAATACGCTGGTGCGATTTTCTGCGATCAGATGAGA